TTCAAATTGTACCTACAGCATCAGGGGTGCAATAATCTTCTGAAACCTAAGTATTTTAACTCAGAAAAGTTATGTGAAAAAAAAAATTCCCTCTGTCACAGGTGTTACAATTTAACACTTTAAACTAGCTAGCAAATCCCTATGTGGTTATAGTGGATATTCACACAGCTAGAACTTCAAGATAATGAGATGCCACCTTTCATTATAAGCCTACCATAGATACACAGAGAGGGAGAGAGTGTTTCACTTTTATATCTATATAAGGTGCATATTATCATCCCTGTTTTATAGATGGGGAAACCGAGGCATAGATAAATGAAGGGCTGCATTTTTGGAAGTGTCCACTTATCTTGGGTGCCCAACTTAACAACCCTATGCTCTCATTTTCAAGAGTTCTGAGCACTCACAGAATCCCATTGATCATAGTGGGAGCTGTCAGTGCTCAAGCTCTGATCAATATCCTGTTCTTTAGGTGCCAAACTGGGCTCCAAAAAATTGAAGCCTCCCAAAATTATGTGGACAGTTATGAAAAATAGGGTTAAGTGACTTACTCCAGTGTGAATGGCAGAGTGGTATGAAAACTCAAAGTTTCCCACTTCCCATCTTCTTTATGAAGAGCTCGATACACTGTGTAGGCGTGTGACCCTCCCTTGCTGTCAATCTCCGAGAGAGGCCACGCCTCTTTGCTACAACTGCCTCCCTGTAAGTTTAAATGTCTTGCAATTTCTTTGGTTACTCAGGTTATTAACATAGCTATTGACATTATATCATATATAGATTAATGTGCTAGTAGCACTGCCTGTTGTTGAGTTTCTCTGACACTTCCCCTTATAAACTATTTTTCAGTTGCTCATAACTTTGCCAAACTTTATCCATTTGGGCTGAAATTTACCATGCTGGGGATCTGCCTCAAGCTGGCGGATTTTAAATTTCAGAAAAATGGTTCAGCTGTTTCCAAGAACAAGGCTAGGAAAAAAATATAGTTTGCCCATATTAAAAAATTCAGCAATCTTTTCTTTGGACAGATTTAGTAGGGACTTGAAATTTGTGTGAGGGATATATATACCTTTTGCCATCCCTGTGAAAATCCACCCAAATTTGGCCAAGTTATAAACCCTTTAAAAAAAAATCACGGTTAGCACATGCTCAATAGAGACGACTTTCAGCAGCTACATTTCTGAAGATCCTTTCTGAAGTGGGCATGTTCCAGCCTGGGGCTGAGCAAGACTTTCTCTGCAAATGTAGCTCTGGGCTGCTGAGAGCCATGCTGGGTTTGAGCACCTGAAAAGAGCAGGGGAATGGTGTCTCCTGTGCTCTCAATGGTATGTGATCATGTAAATGAAAACTGTATCATAATGCATATGCTCAAGCAGTCTGAATTAAGTTGCACAGGCAATCCTAATTCTGGCATTTCTTAGTGCTTGACTTTGCAACCTTGATAATGTTCTTTTAACATGATTTTTGGGGCATGTACACACACAATATATAATCACTTTTCCCTCCCCCCCCCTTTTTTTTTTGAAGATGGATGGGCTTTTAAAAACAACATTGTTATTAATAATCACCGAAACCTTCAAGATCGAAAAAAGGCTGCACAATTTCTTCTGAAAGAGAATCCTTTATGCCCAGTGGTTTTAGATACTATGGAAAACCTGAGCAGTTCAAAATACGCAGCTCTGCCAGAAAGACTTTATCTGGTGCAAGGAGGAAAGGTTGTCTATAAGGTAATGAACTCTGAACACATTACAGTGTGGCTTTAACTTTTAAAAATACCCATGTAATATCCCATAGCATATTTGATGGGCAAACAATTAACATTTTTCATTGTGTTCCATTTTTAACAACTTTACAATTAACTTTAAGCACATTTCAGAGTAGCAGCCGTGTTAGTCTGTATCCGCAAAAAGAACAGGAGTACTTGTGGCACCTTAGAGACGAACACATTTATTAGAGCATAAGCTTTTGTGGGCTAATGCCCACTTCTTCGGATGCATATGCA